GGACGTATCTTCTTCCGTACTGGTCTCCAATACTGATACGACAGCGGAATTCACGTGACGCTGGTAACACGTAATGAGTATCTACAACGTTCGTGAAAACTCGAGTGTTTGCTAGACGCCCTCTTTTTTGTATATATATGACCGGCAAAAAGTGACGGGGGAGAATAATTGCAGACAGAGAGATATAGAGACAGATAATCGAGTCAAGCCATAAGTAAAGTGCGTGAATCATTGTGAATTCTAGTGTGTGTTTAAGTTAAAGTGACTGTGGAAATTAAATGTATTGCAAAGTTGTATTCAGAAAAGAATAAACTAATTTTATTTAAGAAAGGACTTGTATCGCTGAAGTTTTTCGGAAGGAATTTTAAGGGAAATTAACAAACGACCAGAGACGTAATAGTATGTTTTTTCTTCTTTAGTATTGCGAATATTTCAGTGAATTTGTTTCAATGATAGACTTCATCAGGAAACAGTGATAACTTTAAGTTAAAAGCCGCTTGAAGGTAATGGTAAAGATCAAACTATTTCGTTAGTTAAGTAATTAGTTAGTCCACAGCTCAGTTATTGGGGTGAAGGTAATCAGTGGTGTCCTTTTATTTTTCATGATATAAGCATGCCTCAGCTACTATTCGACGGATTTCTTTGAAATGATATTGAGACTTGAAAATCTACAGAGTCTCCCCCAAACCTAATCCCATGCAGAAATAAGACATTATTTTTTAGATGTATTGATCTCTGGAATCTCATTTCCCTATGAAGCCAAATGTCTAGGTGGCTAATCCTCACTGGGGTCTATCTGACTGTGAAACTTACATTCATATCCTCAAGATAAGTAGTAATATTAGCATTCCCTGAACTGCATACAAAAATGGTGATCTGTAAGCGTAATAAACATCAGATGCAAACAAATGTCCCTCAATGTAAGTACAGTCGGTCAAAAAATGATTATTAACCATAAATATAAACACAGCTTAATTCAGAATAAGTGGTTTACGTAATTATAATATAAACAAGTTATTAATAACACATATGAAGGCTTTTTTTACCTTAAAGTTATTTTGGCGTTAAAATTGTTAATTGTTTTTATTTGTACCTTTTATAATCTAAACACTTTGCATTTTCAGAAGGAAGATAATAAGATTTATATCGAAAATCTATTTCTCCCAGTCTTTAACTTTTGTTAGAATTATGGTACCACAACTTACATGTTCTGCAATTCTTTAACTTCAGTAAGTGAAACATCGTTCTGTGCTTGAACTAAGGACTGAGTTCCTGAGTAGGCTAACGTTGAGATATTCAAGGCTTTTACCGCTACTTTCTTTGTTTCCTCTTCTTCGATTTTTTGACTTGATAATAAAAAGAGTACAAAAGCAAGTTCTCGACTACAGTATTCGGAGAACTTTTTCTTGAGAAGATTAACATAAAATTTAAAAAAACAAACAAACTTGGTTTGATCTCTGATCTTTAATACAATAGGATTCATTAACAAATAGTAAGTAGCTAGAAAACAAGCTTTGCCAACATAATAAACCTTAAATAATGCAAATTAAAATTATAATCATTGTTTCTGCCTAACTATTATAAGATTAAATTAGTATCTTTATTGCAACAGTATTTCTTTAAACATATGATTTCTAGAATAATACAAAAGAATTCTAATTGCAGATACCGAAATATATAAGTCCACTTGTCTTAGGGCTAACAGTAGTTAAGCCTTTATTAAGTACAGCCTATATTCCATAAAGAGATAAATTAACATTTTTTTCTTTAGTTTGTTAGGGCTAGACTTTATCGTACTTAAAACTATCAATGTATAAACATATAATGTTATTCTACGACCTAACGTTAGGCCTTTTTTAAAAGCTTTGATAAGCTCTTAATTTGTTGTACAAAATGTCTATTAAAGTTTATTTACGTCTATCTTTTGTTTACATCCGTTGAAATGAAGTGTGCGCATATTTTCAGGACAGACAAAAACTACATTATTATAACAGGTTATGCGTGTAATTCCAATACAATGAATTAATAAATATGTCATCGATCGTCCTCCTTTCACCTTAGAACAGTGATTCTCAACAAGGGGTAAATTTACCCCTTGGGCGTAAAAAATTACATGACAGGGGGTAAATAATTGACGTACCTGATGATTGAATAATAATTCAATTAAATTTCATTTTCTCTGCTGTACCGTACATCAGAGTGTGTGTTTAAGTTAAAGTGACTGTGGAAATTAAATGTATTGCAAAGTTGTATTCAG